CCACCAGGTATTTACCATTTTCAGTTAAGGGTGGGGGGAGAAGATAAGTAATGGGAAGATAAAGTAGGGTGAGGAAGACAGAATAAAGGCACAAAATAGGGAAAAAAAATCAGAAAAGGGAAAACCATTTTAGGTGGCAGAAAAACAGGAAAGGAGAGTGAAAGGTGAGTGGAGAGCTGTCTTTGCTTTAGGCAGAGTGTCTGCTTTTCACCTGCCTGGGGGAGGTAACTCCTTTCTCCTCCAGTGAGTGCTGCAACATCAGTGGGGACTGAACTGCTGAGAGGGTGATTTTGGCATTGCAAGGGCCAATGGCAACCGAGTTCACCACTCCTGCTGGTCATAGTAGGAAGTTTGCGCTACAAATAAAGTTGCCACCTAGCTGTGAAAGCTTAGCAGAGAGACTGGTCACTGAATTAGTTGGAAACAGGCTGTGGATTGTAGGGAGAGAAATTTTGGATGAGACTGTGGAGTTAATCCCTGTCCTGGTGTCCCTGATGTGGAGGGACAGGTGTTCCTGATGTAGAGGGACAGGTATTCCTGATGTAGGGGTACAGGTGTTCCTGATGTAGGGGTACAGGTATTCCTGATGCAGTTCTGGTCTCAGGAGTCTCTGCAGGCGCCCTCTCAAGGCAGGAATCTTTAAACATTTTATTGGACTTTCCAGATCATCAGAACTGACGTTGTTCTGGAAGGACATCATTATCTGTTTTACTGGAAGGGAGTAGGCAAATTGCCACAAAGCAGGCTGCAGCTCCTAGACAAGAGTTCAGCTGTACTACACCTCTTGACATGTGGGCAAGCCCCCTTAAAGCACTCAAAAAGCAAAATAACATGTTAAGCTAACTTCTTAATGGCTAATGCCATTCTGTTGCAGCTATTGTTAAGAGAAAAATAAGTAGACACATCAATTATTATAAACATATTGGTGAAAGTTTGTATTTATTGTAATTTTTCAAAAGCATGAGTTTGTTTTAGCAGCCTGTAGTTCTTTCCTGTTATGACTTCCTGTTATGCCTCCAGGTCTCTGCCCTGTGGGGCAGACCAAAGGAGTAATATTTTCCCATATTTTCCCATATTTTCCAGATCCCAGATCAGTGGAATTTCAGTGGGAAAATAATCTTCATGCAAAAGCTTCAGAACCCAAGATCTCAAGTAGATTTCAAGTCATGTTAGTGCCAGGAGAGGGCTTGGGAACCTGCATTGAAAGGCTCCCTTCTCACATCATCAGACAGCACATGGAAATTCTTCTTCTGGGTTCAATGATATTCACTTTCCATAGGAGGAGAGGAAGGAATCAGTTCTTGGGATGTGCTGATGGGCACATACACATTGTGTATCAGAAAGTGGGAGCTTTTCTTGAGGCTATGAAGTGATTCAAGCACTCTGGGTTGCCTTGACTTTTCAGGTGCTTGCTCCAAGCCTCACTCCTCTACCCACTCCCATTCACAGCTTTCAGTGAAAAACAACTTCCACTTTTTCAGTACTGGGACTGAGAGTGGGTGCTTCCAAAGTCTTGGGATGCTTTAGGAAATCAAGAATAGTTTTAAACTGCAGAGGGGAGGAACAGAGGATTTACCCCTCCCCTGCTAACACCTATTAATGGAATTAGGCATTCAGTGATGCTGTGCTGTTCATTAGCCCAAAGTGTGATGGCTTTCAGAGCCCCATAAAAAAGTTCCAAGCCATAGTTTAATTTTAAAAGTGTAAGTATTCCATTAACAGGGGGGAAGATTGTCCATAAGGAATATTCTGTCATTGGATCTTCCTGCAATGATGAAGATCTGTTAGGAAGCATCAGCTTTGCAGCAGCCCTTTTTAGTCAGGATGCTGAACCTTGCCTGCTACGAGCAGCAATCCCATGTTGCCATCACATAATTTCTCGTTTTTGTCTGTCATCTTTACTTTTTGATCCTGATAAATGGTTTGTGGGTTTTAGGCAAAGTTGATTTAATGATTCTACCATTTGGGCTCATTAAATAGCCACTTTGAGAGCTGTCCTAATCAAATTAGTGATACCATGTCTGGAGCAAAGCACAAATGATGGCTAAATAAGGGTTTCAGAGGAATTCTTTACATTTGTAAATAAAACAGAATTCTGCATTTCTAGACCAAGTTTGTTAGATGGTGTACAAGGCAATTCAGAGTCTGTGTGAAATGACTATTTTTGGATTTGTTTTTAACAGTATGTCACAATACTTGAGAGATTTTGGTTTCCATTGCTTTATGAAGAATGATTTGTAAATAGTGTAATGAGGAATGCTCTCACCCAAGCCCAAGGGATGTGATTCTGACTCTATAAAGATTCAATAAACTTGCAGGCTGTCAGACTCATTTGAAGTCTCTAAAATAACCTTTTACATAACCATTACATTTAGTTTAGGTTTTCTTTCCTTGTTTCTTTGTCTTGGTTTATTTCTTTTTTCCCTTTATTTTTGGGATGATGTAGATTGGTGGACGGGTGGGTGGGTTTTTTGGGATGATAGAAATCCTTGCTTCCAGGCACCTCTGTAAGTGGCTGAATACTTTTCTGCCATGTTCATGTTGTTTGCATTTTCTCTGCATATGCTGGGATGATACTAGCATCACCTGCAGTAAAATATTAATCCAAAATAAGCATTAAAGAAAAATTGAATAGAAAAGTCAGTGGATATCACCATGTGTATCAGAGTCTCAACTGCATGGGAAGGAACACACATCACTAAGTCTGACATATCTTGAGAAATTGTCTTTAGGAACTCAATTTATCTTTAGTGGAAAACAAACCACTTTGTTCTACTTGACATTTAAGGTGGCTTTGAAATGTAAGATTTAAACAATCACTGCTTTTAAATGTTGATGTGATGATTTTTATCAAGCTTTAACATACTTTTCTTCTCCCACTCCCCCATCTGATTCTGGGTATGGGAAAACTAGACTCTCAAAAACAGCAGCACAAAAGTACACTGTAATTTTAAAATATGTCAGATCAGTATCCCATCTTTTTGAGGGTCTCTTCAGCTTATTTTTGGCTTGGACAGAAAAGCAAATCTTGGGAAATTAAAGTTACACATGTGTGCTAACAGTTATTGTTCTCCATATGCCATCTTTATCTCTCTTATTTTTCTCACATTAAGTGCTAGTAAGTGATTTAGATTTAACACAGTAAAAGTATTGAACTAGTGTGTGGAAAACATTAAAAAAAAAAAAAACCTGCTTACTCCCTGTGGAATGTACAGTCCTAGAAAGCTTGGCCAGCATTAGCAGGCTTCCTTTTTTGTCCCGAGCAATCCCTTTCCCAGTCGGAACAGGCAGTTCTGTAACAGTCCTGTAATCTTGATAATGTAACACTAACAAAAACAATGAGACACTGGAGGAATTTAGGGAGCTTCAGTGCAGAAAAAAAAGATGTTACCAACCAGGGGAAAAGAATCTCTGCTTAATCTGGGAAAATTGATACAAGAGAGCAGGGAAGGACAAGCAGACCTGGAGCCCGTGGTCAGCATCATTGATTCTGCCTCTGGAGCTGCAATCTGCAGATTTTCTGACTTTGTTTGTGGCAGAACTGCTTGGAATAAAGTGGTTTAGAAAATGACTGTGATAGGCCTGTTAGTACATGGATTTTTGTGTGCTGTCAGTCCCCAGCTTGCTTTGCAGCATCACATTACAGTGGCTTCTCAAGCAGTCTGGACTTCCTGTGGGTTTGAGTAAACAAGAAATTTCAGAACACTCCTTATTTTTGCATTAGCTGTGCTGTTAATGGTCATAAAAATTGGTAGTTCTGGTCAGACCTTGGGTGGCAGTGCTGTAAACCATGGTAGATATTTTAGTTCATAAACTAAGCAGCATCTCAGAAACCACCCAGCCCAGTGCCAGCAGAACCACAGATTCCTTCACAAATGACTCCTGTAGCATCAGGTGGAGTAAATGCTGTTCATTTTCTTTCTCAAGGGACTCTGCTGGCATTTTAAGAATCTTATCATGACATGAAAATACATTCCCCCCTCATTTTGCAAAATGTTTCTCAAGGGATTACAATGACAGAAGGAAAGGCCACTAAGAACTGTGCTTTACACTGGAGAAATATGGGATATAGTCAATGGAGGGGCACAGTATTAGGGATTCCTGCTTTTGCATCCCTTGGATAATATCCTGGCCTTTATCCACATCATCATGTTCTCCCTCCAGTCACAGCATGACATTGCTTTTAAGACAGCAGGATGGAGGCAAAATAGATCATGGTACTGGGCTGTTTCTTTGCCAGTGTGCAGTAATGTCACAGAAGTGAGACCCATCTTTTGGGCATCTAACTTTATACACAGGGCTGAAATTAAGTTCACTGATTTTGGGATTACCAAATTGCTAAAAAAACAGCTAGGAACTGATAAAGATTCTTTATATTACCTGAGGTTTTAAAAGTGTCCTAAGACAGCTTTACTTAAAGAATTGTGAGATCAGTAGAGAAAACCTCTAGTGATATCTTTATATCACAAGCAGATTTGAAAATTATATTCAAAAATCCATCATTGAATAAATTTCACGATTAGAAAATATTTCCATAATAGAGCAGCACTTTAAAGGTGAGAAAGCTTTCTTTATTCCTTGGGATAGCTGTGGTGTTGTCAAACTTCCAGTCACAGCTATGGTGTTTGCAAGTATCACACAGTGCTGTTTCTGGGATCTCCACATACCCTGATGGATGGAAGAACCACACCAAACCTGTGATATTTGGTGAATTTGGTACCAAGCTCTGCTCATCAGATAGACCAGCACCTGAAGCACCCACCTGCTTCCCATAAGTTATTTCCATTTATAGCACTGGGCTCTGATAACCTTGGCTGTGGATGTGCAATAGCAGCAGTAGACAGGTAGGGTTTCATTTTTCAGAACCATAGCTACTGATGACTGACTGCTTTTTATAGAATGAAAAGCAACGTGGAGTTCTGCCTTTATACAGCATAGTTGTTTAAGGAGTTAATTGTCATTTGGGCTTGTTGAAGCTTAATTAACTTTTCTTCTCACAGATATCCACATTTCTAGAAAGCAGAAATGACCATGACTGCCAACAAGAACAGCAGTGTCAACAGCAGAGCTGGAGGGAGTAAAGTGCCTCAGGACACTCTGGATAGGTAAGTGGAGAGCTGCAGGATTTGTAGATTTTGGGTAGGGCTGGTCTGTGTTTGGAACAAGGTGTCTGTTCAAGGGTAGGAAACCTCTGTTGTGACACAAAGAGTGCTTTGCTGGGCTGAGGGAAGTTTTTTGTATGGAGTGGAGGAGCCAAGGGATGAGGAAAGGCTTTTTCTTGTTGACCAATGGCTGGTTATGATGGGAGTGATTGCAAGGAAGGAGCTGTGTGGAAGGTGCTGTATAAAGCTCAGAAATTTTGGGCTGAATTCCTCAGCCACGTGATTGCATGCCAGCTTTCCTGCACTGCCAATGTCCAGTTTGTGTTTTGTGGTTTTTTTGTGTCACATTTCCTTTGCTGTGTCTGACCACGGTCAGACTGTTTCCTGCTGCAGGTGGGAAAGGGCTGAGTGTAAAGTACTGGGCTCATCTCTGTTGCTTTGCTTAGTTGTCCTTTCTGTAGCATTGAAATAATTTGCAAAGTAGATTGCCTTTGTAATTCACAGTTAGGGAAAAAACCGAAACTTTTTAAAATATGCAGTCAAGAGAAAGATGCAGACAACCAGCATCCATTCTAGTGTTTTTTTTATTAGGCATGTTATGCTGTGGTAGAGCTCAGCAGAGGTGGGCTCCATATTCTTGTACACTTCTCAGTTTGTGTGTTTGCCATCTCCTAGTACAAAATAGTACAAAGATAAAATAATGAGGGGCCAGAGTGGCTTAAGAATTTCTAGAGATAGTCATACATAGATATAAAAACAGTTCCTAAATGATCTCTGAAATTCTCAAGTCGTTTATTGTCCTTCCACCAGTGCAGACAGATTGGTGCTAGGAACTTGGGCCTAGACTTTGGCAAACTTTGGACAAGTCTTTTGTTTTGAAATCGTTTCCATTCTGAATAGCTTAGAAAGTACTGTGGGATACTAAGTTATTGGGTAGTAAATGTCAAATAAACTCTTATCATCATCATCTGTTTCGATTAGAATATGTCAGGAAAAGATTTCGTAAGTACAAGTAAGAGCCCGAAACGAAGGAAAATCTTTAAGTTGCACTTGCACAAGTGAGGAGATGAATAGGTGGTCATGCACCATTTCTCCATCCATTATTTTGCATTATGTAATCACCACCAGTCTCTGAGCAACCCTGCAAGAGGATGTCATTTGAGTCGACCATGAGCATTCTTCATTTGAGTCACACTGTAAATCAGTGTTGTAAGTGCTGGCATCATACAAGTTTAAAGTTTGCAAAATTCATTGTAAACATGTTCAAAGATTCACTAAAACTGAACAGTCACTGTCTCTGTTGAGAGTGGGGTTTGACCGGGCATTTGGAAACCTACAAATGTACTTTATAATTTATGGTATCAGAGTTGCAGTTAGTGTTGATACTGGTGTAACACAGGTGTAGCAGTCTCCTGGTTGCTAAGATATATTTTTTAGAGTTATTTTTTTGTCAATCTTAGTTTTGGTGGGGTGTATCGTTTCAAGATTGTTCAGTTGATGATCTTAAAGCTCTTTTCCAACCTCAGTGATTCTGTGATTCTAAAATGCAAGGTGTGATTCAGGGATATGGGAACATCAGCTCGTTCAACATTTTGTGATTCTTTATAGGTCAGAAGCAAAGGTCAGTAGAGTCTCTAGAAGCCTTTCTATGTCTATGATTCAGATCCCTGTAGATCGTGGATTTAAATTTTAATAATAAAAATCCTCAGTGGAAAGAAGTTGCCTCCATGTAAACATCCATACAGCTGCATGCTTTTGCAGGCATTTAAATTCTTGCAGTAACTAAAATTCCCTTCGTTCTCACCAGAGTGGGAATTAACTGTCATGAATCACCAGAGCCATTTCTCCACCAGAGTTGTTTGAATGGCACTTCAAGAAATGAGGGAAAGACAGAGAGGAGAGGAAGGAGATTGTTTGGGAGGATAACTGAGTTTCACCTGAGAATCTGATGGTGGGATTCATGGGTTTCTGCTGTGAGCACAGAAGGGGAAAAAAATCCCTCTCAGATCTGAAGAAAGTGAAGGGTTTTAAATGTAACCACACTAATGCATTTTTTTTAAAAGTTACCTGAAGTTCATTCACCACTTGTTAAAAACTGAGATTTTTGTGTGTGGTAGGAGAGAAAACTTGACTCTGAATAGGAAAATTAGAGAAAGATGACAAAGATGGTTGAAGGTAGGAAACATTTTCACTACAAGACAAGAGTTGGTTGATTGTGATTCTTCACCCTAGAAAGGAAAGGATTGAAGGAGAAAAGGAGTATCTGAAATGATGTATGGAACAGAGATGATAAATAGGAAAAAAATACTCTTTTCATTTAAGAACTAATACATATCCAATGAAACCAGAAGACAACAGGTCAAGGATCAGTTGAAAAGAAGGCACTTTTCAGCAGCATGTTTTTAAAACATGAAATTTACTGTTATACGATGTTGCAATCAGACAAATCCATGGTAGAAAAATCTTCCAAAGCCTTTTAGTCACAGAAATAAAATCTGTGAGCCAACAGACTTAAGCTGGTTAAATTGTACTGCACGTTCTTATTCTCTTCTCCAGGCACCTGCTAACTCTCATGGCCAGTGACTGAACCTTGGACCAGGAATTCTATTTTGGTCCAGGCCAGTGGGAACATTCTGATGTTGTTGGAACAAGAGTTCAGTTACAGGAAGCAAATTGGAGAAATTGCAGAAGGGTTGTTATGCTTACAAAGCAGACTCTGGCTTTCAGTGAACTTCCAGGGTACAAATTTAATCCTTCCTTGTGAGTCACTGAGGTGAATGCCAAGGAATGGAAGGATAGGAAAGCACCTTGTGTGTGGCTGGAAGTGACTTCTTAGCAATTCTGGCAGGAAGCAGCTCTGTGAAATCTTAATCCTTCAGCAGGGGACAAAGGAGCCCATGGCATGATTGCAGCTAGTGCACAACCATGACCCTTTTGCACCAAATGAGTTTGATTGCAGCACAGTCATGAGGATCAGTGTAACTCTGAGGAAACCTTAAGGGAACAGAAGTCACAGAAAGGCAGAGTGGTGTTTGTAGCTCTCTCTCCTTACAATGTGTCTTTCTTTCCCTTCACAAATGATTTAATATTTATCTGGAGTATTTGTGTTTTATCAGAAACTCTATTTGTTATTAGGTATTTGTCTAAAACCTGTGTTTTCTCCAGTACAAACAAAGGTAAATGTAGAAATGGCACTACCATCTTTGACTCAAAGATCACCTCTACACTGTACTGCATTAAAACAAGCCAATAGTTATGTCTGTGAAGTCGTGCTCTAGCTGGCAAAATACAACTTTCAAACTTGTAGGCTGTGTAGTATAACAAATACAAGGAGTAAAAAAAATCCTGAACAAAATAACTATATATTAATATATCATAATTATCATAATTCATATATCATTATTATCTTAAAATGACATCTCAGTTTGAGATGCTAGATGCGACAAGGACCAATCCAGAGCTGAAAAATATTTAGAGCTGTGTGGCTACATAACTTCTGTAAATAACTCTTAATGCCTTTGCCTCTGGCTAACATGCCATCTTTTAACTCTGTGTCTCAAGGCATTTTATACACTTGTGCCTCCTCACCTGCAACAGTGACTGAAGTACAGGAAGGGTTTTTAGAGGATCCCATTGATTTAGTTTTTTATCTGGGTTTATTGCCTGAGGCATGCATAATGTCAGATATTGGAGATACAAACTTCTTCCCGTGTATTTGTAAGTGGCAGAATTTCTCTTTGTAAAATTTTCTGTGGTGCAAGATGTGCCTCATGTATGGGTCCCACCTTGGAGAATAAGAGAGAGCCTTTGAAAGTGCAAAAACAATTACAGTGAACAAAAAATTAAGCTTGCTGCAAGTAAACGTTTTACTAGCATGGTGACTTTGGTAGAATAAATAGAGGGACTGCTGTGATGAGCTAGAACAAACATCTTTCAAATTTCGTGTCTCTGAGTTTGATTTGGGAAGATAGCCAAAGCAGAATCCAGTTGTGGAAAAGGGCTGTGTCTGAGGAAAACTGTTCTCACAGGCTAAGTGCCTGAGGAAAGCAATGCACTGGAATCACAGGAGTTTTGTCACAGACTGCATTTTGTGATGTGGATTGTTGTCTTTCCATCCAGTCTCCACAGGAAAGGTGGTGTCCTCGCAGAGGATGTTGGTGGAGGGTGTTCTCCAGCTGAGCAATCGTGATTTATTGGCACAATAAACTGGGGGTGCTGGTGTCAGGGGGTGCTATAGCAAGAGAGCAGAGATTTGTGCAAACAAAGGATTACATCTGCAAATTGCCCTGAGCACCAAGTTGCAAAGTGTCTATTCAAAAAACACTCATAAAACTTCTCCTTTCTAAATACTTTTAGTAGAATCTGAACCGAATACACATTTACTTGGTTAAAACTGAAATCTGATATCATGAGTTGGATTTTTCTTCCTGCTTGGGAAGAATTTAGCTGAGTACCCACAAACCTCTAAATATAGGCTTTGTTTTTTATCTCCCAGCAGCGTGTGGGGACATTCCTGCTGTCACTGACAGTTTGTCACCCCCATTAGCCAGACATGCTGAGATATGTTTGCACTGACTTTGTGGCTCAGAACATTTTCCTTCTTCAGAATTTAGGTTAATAGGACGGAATTTTAATTGGTGGAGCTACTTTGTCTCCAGTGAAGGCAATAGAGATGCACCACATAGTCTGGACTAATATGACTAGAGACACAGGAGCATTTCAGATGGATTGTTTATAATTCTTTAAGTATCAAATAAAACAATGGCTTACATTTTTTAGCAAAGTAAGCTAGTGGGTTGGTTAGTAGAAATATTGTTTTGGGTTGGTTTCCTGTCTCCATCATGTACCCAGGGCCATACTCAGCTGTTTCACATGCATGTCAAGAGCTTGTGTTTTATTGCTGCATTTCTCTCAAGGAAGAAACAATCCAAGAAAGTTCTTAGAAACTAAGAAAACTTCTAGAAAAATCTTAGTTGAAGGAAGACTTTGTTCCTGTGCTTCAG